CCTTTTTGAAAGGATTTACGCTAATTTACAGCAAGGGTTCTATTTGTATATTCAACAAATTCGAAAGCCGCTTTTCAAAGTGATTTTCACCCCTGATAAAATTTAAGATCCACAAGCATTTTAGGGTATGATAATTGGGCTAAACTGGACAGGGACACCCCATGGTTTTCACATCTCTTTGCCCTCTGTCACCACCAAAGGGCTATTCTCTATGCCTGCAGGTGTTCTATTCATCCCCAGATAATTGGCCTTTTACAACCTAGTAATGTGATATGAAGAGATGTTTATCTTGTCTTTTTCCTTGTGGTACGGGAAAAAGAAAGATTTATCTGAGGATCGGATCATTGGAAGTTTTTATTCTGCATTCTGGAGAGTTTTCTAAATGATTCTTTTCAATGTTTTATTTATTTTTTTGAAATTTGTATTCTTGTTTTTAAAATTTGTATTTGTATGTATGTTAAATTTATTTTTTTAAAACAAGCAAAATATCAAAATATTTTGAAAAATTGAAAAAAAAGAAAGACGTTGATGTTGGTTGATTTTGCGCCTTTTTCAAATAATGCGCCCATGGCTCTCGCCATGCCTGCCATACCCTAGATACGCCACTGGGTGAGGAATACTTTAAAATGATAGTAGTGACAGACCACATGCAAACGGTCAAATCAATACCTCTGGGGGTACTGGATTGGAGATCGACTGTTCTCTGATTCAGGTCAAAATTACGACCTGTGGATGAATGAATGAATCAGTGCGACGTATGGTGTGGCAGAAGTCGAATTCTTGGCCATCGATGGCACCCCCTCTGCCTAAACAGGCATACGTCAGCAACAACGGGAAAATTATTTGTAATGAATTCGAAAAGTTACCTTTCCTCACTCTATTAAAATAAGTTAAATTTAAAAAACAACTGTTACAAACCAATTGCACTGATACAGACAAATTTATTAATTAATTTCCTACCAATAATTTTACCTTGGCCCAGGGCTCGAAAAACCGCCCGTCCTCGGCGGTCAAAAATTCACCGCGGACAACGAATTTCTCGAATCCGACGTCCGCGCGGACGGCCATTTTCCCGTCGTGACCTTTGTCATTTAAATTATTTCATGAAAGAAAGAAATTATTTCATACAAGAAATACTAGGTTACTATTAGTAACCTAGTATTTCTTTTATTACTGTATAATGTAACCATAGTGTTTGTAATCCTAGTAACTACTAATTCATAGTGCAATTTATATGAATGTTTGTAATAAATAAGAGAAAATTATATTTTTATTTATTTGGAAGCTACGGGTTAGTTTCAAAGGAGGACGGGTACATTGTTGGACAAGCCGTCCTCGGGGACGGGTAAAATTTCTGAGTTTTTTCGAGCCCTGCCTTGGCCCCAGTTGGACTCAAAATTGGCTCAATATGGGTCCTATATCTAGAAATCCTAATGTTGGGATGTCTAGAATTTTTAATATTGGACCTAGAATGGCTTATATAGGGCCTACATTGGCCAATATTAAACCTATATTGGCTAAAAAAGAATATTTTTTTAGTTGTGAATGAAATAAGGTTTAAAATTTTATTCCATTTTAGGAGAGTTTACATGGTTAGAAGATGGTTAAATCATGTTTTATAAAATGAAGCTGTCAAAAAGAAATCGTTTTTTCGTTCTTTATATATAGGGTATAAAATAGTTTTAAAATTTCTTTACATGATGTTTTAAACTTCTTTGTTTATTAAGTTGATTATTTGATGAAAAAAATTGAAGAATTTAGTTTTTGATTTTTAAACAAACTTAAAATATAATAAATGAAGTGTAATTAAGGGGGAGAAATAGTTAATAAAATTTGCAATTAGTCGTAAATTGTGTAATTAAAAAAGACAAATAATACAGAATATTTATTTATTGCTTATGTTTTCTTCATAATTATTGTAAGTTTATTTTTATAAATAACTATTAAATCCTTTTATTGTATAGGAGACTAAAGATTCTATTCAAGCTCGTTTGGCTCTGTAAGTATAAAATTTTGCTTATTGTTATCAATATTACTATGTATCTTTCAATTTGTATTTGTAAGTGACTTATACTAAAATATTTTCTTATAAATTGTGTATACATTTGACTAAGTTATTTTTTAATATTTTATTTAACATTTTGCTTGTACAGGTATATATTTGACAGATTTAATGCTTGGCTTTCTTACCTAATAACATCAGAACTAGTTTACAATGTGAAAAGGCTGCCCGAAAGATAAAATGTTTATTTTTTTAATAATCTCAAGTAGAAAATTTCTAGTTGCTTATTATTTCTCTTCATCTTATAAAACTAAGATTGCGCAACGATTATATATTTTTTCCTTATTTGTTTTATTTTAGTCAAAATTAGAAGAAGAAAATTTTTTTCTTCGTATCTCTGAATTTAATATTTCTTTCATTAGTTGATAAAAATGTATGAAATTTAACTTAATGTGAAAGATTCACCATTGCTTTGGTTTTTTACTTTTTTTAAAAATATTATTTTGGTTATTAAATATATAATTCAATTCCCAACATACATTTATAGAATTGAAACTATTTTAACATGGAATATTTAAAAGAACATTTTTAAAATTGTTTGGAAAAAAAATGATACTTATTGTTTTTCAGAAATTAAAACATTTTTGTAGGATTAACTCTTTTACCATGCACAAAAAAGGTATGTTTGTTCAGACAACTTACAATTTTGTGTTTTATTTCCGAACTTAAAATATCTTCTGTACTAAATGGTTAGCATATTTAAGGTTAGGCTTTCAAATCACATATGATCATTAAAAATTTATTCGAGTGCTTCTTTTTTTATTTTGCCTACTGCATACAAATACACTATTGTCAGATATATTTATTTTAAATAAATAAGAAATTTTAAATCAAACATTATTATAAACCTTCTTTTGTGACTCTTATGCTTCTTATAAAATAAAAATAAAAAATCCACAGTGGTCTCTCATTGAAGCAGCTCTGTTTAAATCAGATCTCCATCTAATGAAGACAATTTTATACATCCTACATTTTTCTAATAGTAGTTTAGGTTTAAAACAATGTCTATTAGCAGTTTCATTGGATGATGCTGATACATTTTTTCATATTTCTTTGCTTATTGCTGCTAAAAAAGTGTTTCAGTTATTTTTACCCTTTTAGGTTTTTAATCACAGCTTTTGCTATCTCTAAAGTTATCACTAATTTTTTGTATTAATTTTACAGTAAAATTTCTTTTTAACGTACATGCAAATAAGCTATAATTTTATTTCACGTTTCAAAATCATTAGTTTCTTTCTCAAAGAATTAGTTGCGCAAACCTCACACTATGTGGGCTTTATAGGGTGCGTAGCCAAATTATTCAACAAAAAATAAGCACTTTTCAAGCACTCAAAAAATATTTGTAAGTACTTTAAAAAAAAAAAAAAATCATAATTAGGCAATGTTGGAACGTTTTGTGATAATTTACGGTTTTATTTTGTTTTAACTGTCATGTCAAAAAAAAAAACTTTTTGGCATTGTTTTTGACAATTGTCAAAAATCATTAAATTTTAAATCATGTAAAACGAATGGTGTTTTCATCGTTACAGACTGACAATACGCTGAAATAGATTGGGGTTGAATTAATTGTGAAAACGTTGAGTAGAACAATGTGAACTGTGTCTTTTTGCATAATTTGTAGCAAAAATTAACATGGCAAAGGAAAAATCTAATTTTGAAAAAAGGGAAAATTAAGCACTTTTTAAAAACACCCTAAGAAAAAGCACCTTTAAAAACACTACACACCCTGCTTTAGTGTAGTAAGAAATATGTCTTTGAGAAACCATAATAATGAGAGACCACTGTATGTTATTACTATTATTATACAATTGAATTCTATAATTTATTGTTTATATCAATCCAATTTTAGCTTAGGAGAAAGCTTCGACCATATCATTGATGTAAAGTGGCGTCAAGACTATGTTATTAAGGTAAACACAAATGTTTAAATACTTTAAAAGTATATAGATATTTAAAAAAAGTTAATTCAAGTGATTGTTAAACATTTAAAAAAAATTATTTCCAATAATTTATTTTTTTCCTTTATATAATTAATTTATTTGCATCATAAAATTATCTCTCTTATTATTTTTCCCTACAAGCATAAAAAGTTATAATGCTAGGGATATACTTCTTATATCTACTATTGGCTCTAACAGCAAGCAATTATTGTTGCTGACATCATTAATAATTTTAATGCAAATAGTGTGTATTAAAAATAAGCATTTTAAAATTAATGTAAGCAAAACCTTAAACATTTTCAAGTATCAGGAATCTAATCTTTCTAACATTCTCCTTTTTTATCTAGAAAAACTATTTTCAACAATAGTCATTATTTTTTATTGTGCAACGTATTTCCTTGTATTGCACAATCTGTAAATTAAAAAATAAAATTATTGACTTACTTATGTACTTCAATGCTAGCATAAAATACAAATTTAAATGCATCAACACTTTAAATTTCATCTTTTTTCTCTGTGGCAGATTAAATAAATAAAACCTGTAGTTTTTATAAAATTGAAAAGTGTACTGCTAATGTTATATGAATGCTATTGTAATAGGCTAATTAAATAATTTTTTTAGTTTTTAATTACTGCATTTAATTTTTAAGCTTCTTTTCAGAGTGAAAATGGATTTTACTTCTTTCATGTTAACCTAAGGCTAATTTCTTAAATAACCAATGAAAGGTTTTTAATATTTTTTCCTTAATTCTATTTATTGAAATTTCCTCTAATGAACCTGGTAACCAAATTTTAAGGTTATAATTTTTTCTTTATTTTTAATTTTTTTAAAAAAAAGTATAAAATGCATTTCAATAAATAAACTGAAAAATAAAAGCATTAAATAATGCCAATTTGTTTCTGAATAAATAGAGGAATTGCATTAATATTTGTCTTGTAGGTTTACATGAAAAAAGTTTGATCCCTTTTTTGTCTGAAAACAATTAAGTTAATTGAATTTATTAGGAAATTAAGAAAAAATATTGGCCGCTTATTTTTTTAAATGATTTACTTACACTTTATGTTGTATAAAAAATATATCTGAACCCTCTTTGGCATTAACTTTTAAAGATACATTGACTAGAAAATTTTATAAAAAATATCACATTTATGAATCTTGTGGGGTCCAAAGTTTTTCTGTGTAACATTAGATAGGTGCTTTGTATAGATAGTTTATAGNATGGTGGCAAAGAAGTAAAATTGTTCACAAGCGCTTTAAAAGCCTTTCAGTGCAATAACCGCATAGTTATGGCACAAAGGAAGCATTTGGATGATTTTTTACGTGGCAGAATCATCGGACGACTGGAATGTGGACGTACCCAGCTGGAAGTATCCGAGGAACTTGGAATCACGCAGAGTGTCCTCTCCAGGCTTTGGCAACGATTCCTAGATGATGGTTATGAGAGTAGACGTTACAGCACAGGTCGCCCCCGTGTTACAACGCCGAATGAAGACCGGTATTTGGCAGTTACTGCCAAAAGAAACAGACGGAGCACAGCACCAGACATGTCTCGTCAGCTACTGGTACGGCATTTTTAAGGTAGACCGTGTGCAGACGCTTAGGGCACATTGGTCTATATGCTCGTAGGTCTGTCAGATGTGTTCCACTTACCGCAACTCACTGTCGCCTGCGATTAGCCTGGAGTAGAGAGCAAGCATTGTAGACACCGCAACAGTGGTCCTGTGTGATGTTTTCCGACGAGTCAAGGTTTAGTTTGCAGTCTGACTTTCATATGGAGAGCGCCAGGTACCCGTTACCAAGACAACACCATTGAACGACACCGTTACGGTGGTGCAGGATGCCTCGTTTGGGGAGGAATTATTCTTGGTTCCAGAACTGACCTGCATGTTCAGAGTGTAACGATGACAGGCCACAATTATAGGGATGTCATTCTGGAACAACATGTATGTTTGTTTCGGGGCGCCATGGGTGCTGAATTTCTGTTTATGGACGACAACGCCCGTTCTCACCGTGCAAACATTGTACACGAATGCCTTCAACTGGAGGATATCACCCGTATGGATTGGCCAGCATACTCACCGGACTTGAATCCAATAGAGCATGTGTGGGATATGCTTGGCCGACGAATTGCAGCCCGTCAACCACCTCCCATCTGTCTACCGGACTTTTGGAGGGCATGGCTTAATGAGTGGTGTAATATTCCCCAAGATCAGATTGATGATTCGATACTCAGCTTGCCTAGGCGTTGTACGGCCTGTATTGCATCGTCCGGGAGACATACTCCGTATTAACCATCATACTAACCATGTTCTATTGTTTTTTGTAAATAGTTTCTTTTTTAAAATTTTCCCCAGGGAGTAAAAATCGCAATTTTTATTAATTATGTCAAACATATAGCATCCTTTTTGCTCTTTACCTTTTGTTTAATACATAGACTTTACAAATAAGTCAAATTTGCTTGGCTTCTGTCTTTTTCTGTGCCTGAACTTCATTATCCTTAATTAATGGACATGAGTGTATTTTAAAAAATAAGAAAGTTAAAATTTGCTTTGAAAATTCTGGAACAGATACTATTCATTGGCATAAATGATAAATGCAATATATATGAAAACAACAGAGTCCATAAAACAATTTTGTGGACTCTTATAATCAATCATATGCAGGTTTTTTAAAATCCTAGCAATAGTGAATGTATGTATAATTGTAGTACTCCTAGTATGCTATTAATGGTTTTATGGATCCTGAAAATTATCTTTATATTGTTATCAAACTGATTAATAATCATTTTAGCTGAGATAAACTGAGTGAAAAAAATAATTTTAGCTGAGACAAAATGAGCCAAAAAGAGATTTTAACTGAGACGAAATGCAATTTCTGGTGAGACAATTTGATATTTTGCGAGTAGCATCCCTGTTATTGGCTTAGTTATGTATTTCAAATTCCTATTATTTATGTACTTCATTGCTAGCATAAAATACAATAATTAAAAATTTCAATGCAGTTATCACTTTAAATTTCATCATCTTTTTTCTCTGTGGCAGATTAAATAAATAAAACCTGCGGTTTTTATAAAACTGAAAAGTGTACTGCTAATGTTATATAAATGCTATTGTATTAGGCCAATTAAATATTTTTTTAGTTTCTAACTACTGCATTCAATTTTTAAGGGTCTTTTCCAAGAGAAAATGGATTTTACTTTTTTCATGTTAACCTAAGGCTAATTTCTTAAATAACCGATGAAAGGTTTTTAATATTTTTTTCTTAATTCTATTTGTTCTAATGAACCTGGTAACCAAATTTTAAGGTTATAAATTTTTCAATTATTTTAAGTTATACTTTAAAAAAAAAAAAAAACTAAAAATGCATTTCAATAAATAAAATGAAAAATAAAAGCATTAAAAAATGCAAATTTGTTTCTGAATAAATAGAGAAATTGCATTCATATTTGTCTTGTAGGTTTACATGAAAAAAGTTTGATCCCTTTTTTGTCTGAAAACAATTAAGTTAATTGAATTTATTAGGAAATTAAGAAAAAATATTGGCCGCTTATTTTTTTAAATGATTTACTTACACTTTATGTTGTATAAAAAATATATCTGAACCCTCTTTGGCATTAACTTTTAAAGATACATTGACTAGAAAATTTTATAAAAAATATCACATTTATGAATCTTGTGGGGTCCAAAGTTTTTCTGTGTAACATTAGATAGGTGCTTTGTATAGATAGTTTATAGAAGAATAAATAATTTGCTTTTGCAACATTTCTAATGTTCTGAAACAGAACATCCTAAATTGTTTCTTTTTCTTTCAGTCTAGCAACTGTGAGAAGATATGTGAACCTAAATATATCATACAACTAAAAACATGGGTAAGTTTTTTTTATATTTTAAATTATTATTTATGATTCAACTAATTTTCTAAATTATAAATACATAATAACATGCTATGAGAATTGGTTACATTTTATGTTTAAATTTCATCCACATGCATAACTCCTACGAATAAATTTTATTCATAGATTATCTCAACATATTTTATTTATGTGTATGTTTAAGCAATAAAAAGTGCTGTCAAACAAAAAAAAAAAAAAAGCATAAATAAATTGTGTGGTTAAGCAGTTGTATGCTATACATAATTCCTATTATTGTTAATTAGTACAGGTAATAAAAATGGGCATAATATATGGAATAAATCAAATAATTTAAGTTTTTTTTTTACTTTGTTTAAAACTTAGTTAACTATAAAAAATTTTCTACAAGAATTTATGCATAAATTATAATCATCCTTCTTAGAGTATTAGAATTTGTACAGTATTTTTATAACAAATAGACCATGCATTTTCAGAATTATTTTTTAAGTCTAAGCACAGATTTGCAGCCTATTCTTCCTTTACGCTTTTCAATTTTAAATCACTATTTGTATATTAAAATTATTTTTTATTTTAGAACCCACAAATGAATCAAGAAAAAGATGTCATATTTAGTTGTACAATGGAGCAATTGCAAGTGAGTAATCCTGTTGTTTAACCTATAAATGTTTTTAAATTGATGCTTACGTGCTTTTGTTTTAGTTTTTTTTAATGATAATTTATAATTAAAAAAGAATTACACTCAACTTTAAAATTTTTTTTTTATACTTGATGTAATCTGCTTTAGAAATTTGGTTGATAATAGATTGCAATATGCTATTTATTTAGAAGTGCCATATCATTTAATATTGTTTGTGTAACATATATATGTTTTTGAACAATAAGTCGCTTTTTTCACAGTTTTTTGTTTTAAAAAATTTAAAAGATAACGGCACTGTTTATTGAAATTGCCATTACTGTGATAAGATCATAATTATACCATGATAAGATTATATTTGTATTGAAAGATTATTCATATTTAGGTAGTACAATTAATTCAAATGTAGTGTATTCTCCATAATTTTGGGACATGTATACATAATTTGCATTCCCTCAAATAAAAGATGTTACCCATTTTCTAATTTAAGCAGATTACTAATGTTTAAAAAATTAATTTTAGAAAATAATTTTATATTTGTTTCAGAATTTAGTTTTGAAATTAAAGGATGCAACTAAATGTATAGAGAGGAATGCAGTATGAAGATATGTATCATTATTGTAAATGATTTTATGTTATGTAGTTGGGGCCAAAGCAGATTTGAGAAAAATTCTTAAAATATTGGGTGTTCTGTAATTATTTTGCCTTCAATATATATTTTTGGAATTCTTGTGAAAAAGAAGTAATACATCAGGGATCTCAAATTAATTATTTAAGCGAGGAACAAATAAAGAAGCCACTAAAATTTACACAGCACTCATAAGGAACATGTTTTAAATAAAAACTTCTTTAAATGCTGGATGAAACTTAAGGCATTTCGAAACTTTGTTTTATACTAATTTATATTTCTCCAAGCAATGAAATGGGTTTCAATAATTTTAATTTCATTTTCTTCACTCAAATAGTAATTTGGGAACTTTAATGTCAAATAATCTAAACTATATTAAAGGTGTTGATTATAGAACACTCAGTACTATCTCAATGTTTCCATCAATTTTTACAAAATAATAAATTTTATTTTTGAATATAATCAGTTTTATAAGTGATAAATCATGTGTCTGTTAAGTTGTGATTGAACATTACTTCAGATTTTGTTTAGTTTGTAGGAAACTTATATTTTATTTTTCTACATGGTAATGTACAGTGCACCAAATGAAAGGACCACCCTGAATAAATTATGATCCGATAGGGTTACCATAAATATGCTAATTAATTACTGCTGACAGTATTTTAAGTTAAGAAATCAGACACAAAAACGTACTTTTTCTAAATAAACATATCTTTTTGGATTTAGTAGTAGGTAGAATGAAACTTTCAAATTGTGTTTATGATTGACTTAGGCCTGAATGCTTAAAAATTGTTCTTTTACAATAACTGGCATGTGATAACTGCTTAGGAATATTTTTAGTAAAAATAAATTAAAATTATTGCAAGCGAAAGACAAATAAGTTTACCATAATACACCTTAAAACCAAATTTATTCTTCTAATGGTTAGTTGTTGTCCTAATGTAAATCCTATGGAAGAGATTTGGTTTTATAAAAATAAATCCTTCTTCGAAGATTTTCATTATTTAGAGGCTAAAGATTTTACTGTTTAACTTATTAAAATGTATATTTGTATATAAACTAAAAATCTTTAATTTTTTTGATTTGCAAATGAAATGCTTATTACTAAAACTTCAAAACTTATAAGTTTCATTCTCAATCTATTGGTCTGCAAATTGTGCATACAAAATATTAACATTTTTTTTTTTTTTTACACCACTACTTCATAGACTACAGGAGTTTCAAAAATTAACACAAAAATTGAAAAGAACTAAATTTTTTGATGATATATAATTATACAAATAATTTCTAGTCTAAAATATCTCTTGCTTTTAACATCGATAAAACTTAGTTTTTATTAAAAAAATAAAGATTTAAATTATTATCAATATCTGGATGTTTATTACTTTAAATAAATTTACTTTTAGTTATGAATTAATTTTATTTGTTGTTTATTTATGTGTGGTTGTTCTTTCTCGATATTGTAACAACAAATCATTTTATACATTTTTTTATTGGTTTCATAATATATCTTTATGTTCAGTTATAAATGCTTTCTGGTATGTTATCTTAATTAAAAGTAAACAATTATATTTATGTGTGCAGTTTGATTATGTCATACATATATTTTGAATATTTCTGATGATAGGCATCTTTCAGTGTTTTGTCAAACATTTTTGGTTCAGAAAATGTATAGAGCTCTGAAAATATGAAGTATATTAAAAAGTTTGTCTATAATTTAAATTTTTCTAAGTGTGTAATCATCTTAGTTTAAATTAATTTCAATCACATTAGACAACATTTAAATATTATATGTTTATATTTTAGAGTGATATTTATTAGTTTGATGGAATAATATGTTTATCAGTATCATGTATTAGTTTGATATAAATGTATCAATAAAATATTTATACATTTATAAAAATATAATTATTAGAAATTTATCTATTTCTATATGGTATTAATTTACAAATCTCCAAATGTTTTAAATTTCTATGTCCTTCAACATTGAAGAATTTTATTAAGATTGAGGTAATTTTTTTTAAATACTTTATTTTTTTTTGTAAAATAAAAAGTACTCATACTAAATACATCAAAATACTCATTTTATGCATATCTAAACGAATTTATATAAAAAAACAAAACACGTCCCTCTTTTTTTGCACTTTGCGGCTTATCGTATAAAAAAAAAAAAAATGATTTCAAAAACTGTCAAATTTACTGCATTGACTGAAAAAAGATTAATGATAAAATCAAGTGCACGAATCTGACTTGTCAAAAAAAAAGTTAATTAAATATAAGTTTCGAGATTCACGTGTTTATAATAAACATAGCATTAAAAACATTGAGTTTTTAAGAATATGTGAAAATTAGTAATGATAATTACAATAATAATTATTGAAAAAAATGTTAGAATTATTGCATCAAATAGTGCAGTGTTTCCCAAACTTATGACTTTAGTGTACCCTTTCTAAATGTTTCGTAATGCTGCGTACTACTAATAAAAAAAATGAATGTATCTTTTTAAAAATATGTTAATTTTTACTATAAAAAATCATAACTGGCTGTTGACACCACTAATTATTAACTGTTAACTCTGCAAAAAATAGGCAATGGAAAAATACGTAATCGTAAATTTTCCTGGCTAGCTTTGTTTTTAAATAAAATGTTTTGAAATTTTCTTTTGTTGCAAGATATTTTGCAAAGAATGCATACACCCGCTAAATTGTTACCGTTGGGGGTACGCGTACCACACTTCGGGAAACACTGAAATAGCGGATACTCAGGTGTGTGATTTGAATTTTCTGTATCGTAATAAGATCGCGATTTTAAAAAATCACAAGAAAATAAACAGCATTAACTACCAAGAAAAAATACCCTATCAAAATGACGAGTGGATTTTAGTGCAAATCAATCGCATCAGAAAAGTTATTTCTTAAATGTGTGATTCAAATTCTAGTTTCTTAATACTAATGCATGGAAATATTGGAATAAAAAAAAACATGCGGATACCAGTAGCAATAACAGTGCAAAAGTAAATTAAAAAACAGTATTGTTGCATCAAAAAAGAAACAAAAAAATGCAAGAGTTGAATTATGCTTGTTGTAATAATAACGTATAAACATAGGGATTAAAAAAAAATATTGAGAAAATCGCTAGCAATAATAGCCGATAAAATAATTGAAACACTGCATGGATTTACGATGATATTCAAATTAATGGACTGTGTCAAAAAGTGATTACTCAAATGCGTGATTCAAATTTTGTGTCGTAATAATACCTGAATTTTAAAAACTATGAGAAAATGAATTGCATTCACAATGAAGAAAAAAATGATGGAAACATTGAATTACGATGATATGGAGCGCATTAAAAAATGATTACTGAAACGAGCAATTCGAAATTTCTATTTTGCATGATCATATTAAAAATTTGATCTTATTGTTGGCAAATATATCATTGATTAAATAATTCTTCTGTTAAAAATCGGAATTTGTAACAAAATTGTTCCTTATTAAACGTAAGCTTTAAAAGAATCAGGAAAAAAAAAACATTTTTTCAAGAGAACAATCCATGCCATTCCGGAATTACTTATTAGATTATCAATTTTATACTTTTGTGTTTTCCTCAGAAGTTTATTAATTTTAGCTGAAGTTGTTGTAGAATAAAATTTTTTTAGTCTCGTGTCCTCGAATTTTATTTGAAGTTGCGTTTTTTTAAAAACAAATCCAAGTAAAAAAAGTTGGCGTGCGAATAAGAACTTATGAAGAAAAAAAAGGGCGCTGGTAGAAGCGAAATAAATGTCTCATTAATAAGATTTTACATAAGTAGCCAAATCTAAATAAGCGGAACTCTGAGAAAATTTTTGTCTAAATATATTAATTCGAGGAATTCTTCGAATTAGTGGAAGAACCACATGCCTGTTCAGTGTACTTTTCAAAAAAAAAAAAAAAAAAAAAAAAAAAAATTTACATACAGCATTTTTTAAAAGTTTCCAGACTCACAAATGGTTTTTAAAATGCTTTCAAATTCCAATGTTTCTTAACTTTGTAAAGCCTAGGATACAAAGAAAAGAATAGATTAAAAAATGAAAAAAGTTTAGAATAATTGATTCAATGTGTTTTTTTAAAGCTCAGATTAATTTTTGAATCACTTTGAAACTTTATATGTGTATTTTTTTTATATATAAAAAAATATACATATTATTTTTATAGAAAAAATAGGAATCTCATTCTGAACTATAATATATTTTTGTTTTAAAAACAATACTGTTTAAATTTTTAAAAAATAAATTTGTTTCCTTAAAAGTAATTTAAGTTTAAAAATATTTTTTAAAGGATGAGCTTGAGCTATATAGCCCAAAATTTCTAATTTTCACTCCATATTTTATTGCACATAAATAGCTAGAAACAAAAAAATTAATGCATCTAACAGCGGGAGGAAGCCACAGACCTTTTGCACAAGTCTCTCTGCATCTTCAACTTGGTTGAATCATCCCACACCAGTACTTATCAGCTCACATTTTGGTAGCAATAAAGTTATTTTTGTTTAGGATAAAATTTAAACCAAGGAGCCACTTTCTCTATAATGAAAAGTAATTGAAAAAATATAAGTTTAAATTCTGTACAATTATATGACAGAAACTGTAATATTTTGGTGTTGCTTTCTAACAGCTTAGTAAATATTTTGAAACACTTTGACAAATCCTTTAAGAGAAATTATAGAATTAAGCTGAATACCATAAATAATGGTCTGTATGCAAAAGATATAAATTAGTCTTTAAATTGCAAATAAAATATTAAAAAGTAAGGAATAATCTATTAAATAAGAAAAAATAAACACTAGAACAGGAATCAACCTTGACTTTTTTTGTAGCTTTCAAATGCATTCTGTAGTAAAAACTTAAAATTTTAATTGTTGGAATTCCTATGGGAGTTAGAAACTTAGTTAACTTCAGAAAGGTATACAAAATTATTTGAACGAATCTCTCAAAATGATTTTTTTAAAAACTCTGAATTAACGATCCTTATCTATTGCAAATATATATATATTTACTACATATATTTTGTGACACAATAAATTTTTTTTATCATTTGGCAATACACATTTAAAATGGGAGTAAAAAAATTTGTGAAATCGTATGTGTAACTCGATACATCTGATATTCAATAAATGAGCGTTTTGACCTTACAACGAATGAATCTTGAATTAATCAATTGCAAATAAAAGTTTCTACGATGCGTCGGATATCTATTCCGATCTGATAATACAAATCTCGTACAACTCACTTTTACTAGTCCTACGGGAAACGGAAAAGAAGGAAGACCACCAATTAGGTGGTTTGACTCTGTGGAGAAGGACTTTCATATAGTAAATAAAGGAAACTGGAAGAGCCTTGCTGTGTATAGGACCAGCTGCAGACAACTTAGAATGTTATTGGCCTGTAATGCCTTGAAAGAAAAAATTATCTTTACAATAATGATGCACAATTATGGGTGAAATAAGATATCTTTATCTGGCTTTTATTAAGTTAAGCTTTTTATTTTTTACATTGTTTTAATGACAGTTGAATGTAAAATATCCAGATAATAATAAAACTCAATCTACAGGTGATCTAAAATAGCTCAGAGTTTTTAGAACTTCAATTGTGATTCTAGTTTTAATCAGTATTAAATGTTATGACTCAATATCAAAACAAAATACAGATATATACTCAACATCAAAACAAAATACAGAGTAACTAAAATTATTAACTCAACTAAAAAAATTAAATATAATTTAATTTTTTAGTCAGTTGTATAAAAAATAAACATTCATTAAAAGAAAAAACATTAGAAGCATAGAAAAATAATTGATGAGTTTTTACATTTCATAATGCACATTTTTTTTCTCCATACTCATAGTATATATATATAAGTAAAATTTAATAGTTAAACTTTGCCACATTGAAAGCATATGTTCTTTGTATACAATGTTGCTCTTTAATACGATTAATAATATATCAATTAAACGATTAACAATACGATTAATAATATATTTATTTGATTGCCCCTCTCTTCTTGACATTCGTTCTTCTGATGACTTTTGTGCCCTCTCACCTTCTGGAGCAACTTCAGTATTGTATTGGACTGCAAGACGCCTTATGTCTGAGAAGACGATGGCGGGCGTAATTTTTAAAAAAAATAATAATATATCATAAATACAAAGTGGCCACATTCTAAATAAACCAAAATTTATTCCCTCCCCATGCAATTTTAAAAATTACAGACTCCCACTGTTAAAGTTAGCATATTTTAATAACATTTTAAAATTTGAGACTTACATACTAAAAAATATAAATTGTTAATTTGTTCAATTTAAAATTGTCTATTATTTCACACCTAGAAATTATATTAAACAAAAAAAAAAAATTATAAATTCACTAGTAATTTTAATTAAAGCTTGAGGTATGAAATAATTTTCAAAAACATTTATAAACACAATTGTAGTAAAATTAAGTAATCATCTATACTGTTTTGCTAATCATGAATCTCCTAGAGTTGATTTTCAATTTCTATGAAAATTTCAGGTTTTCCCTGTTCTCGGGGAAAGTGGCCACCCTGAAATATTAGCAATCAAGGATAATAGCAAAAAAGATTTCAAAAATTTAAAATATTAAATGCAAATTAACTTTATTTTACATAATTTATTCAATACTGTGAAAGAATAGTCAACCAAAAAATTGTTCTTTATTTTAAAAGGTAAACCAGGGCCATCTCCACTAATTATTTAATTATGAAAAAAATTTTCAACTCCTATTTGGTTGACAAAGTTCTCTTAAATTTTGGATATCAATAAACCATTGATCTGGAATAGTAATCCAAAAAGATCTTTGTGTCTTGTTTGATCAAAAATTAACGTTTCTAAAGTTAAAAGAAATTTTTTTGAAAAAAAAAAAAAAAAAAAAAAAAACTTAAAANAAAAAAAAAAAAAAAAAAAAAAAAAAAAAGATAAATAGTGGATTTATAGATTCATTTCCTAATTTTTGATGTTTGTTTTAAAAAATAATAAGAGGTATCAGCACTTAGTAGAACAAATTATCCTAATGACAAATGTTTGTAAATTTTAAAAATTTAAAGTTTATTTCAAAATAATACATTCAAAACCAATAGGCATATTTTCTTAAATTTTAAGAAATTTGTCTTTAAAATTTTATAAAAAGAACTTTATAAATGCAAATTATTTTGGAATTTAAGTTGGAACTTAAGTTGTTAAATAAAGTAAGATTTAGAAACATACTTTTTTGGCTAAAAACGTTTTTACATTAAGAATTTGTGAAACATTTCAATGTTAAATTAAATATATTTCTTATAAAATATACAAACACTTTATGTAATTATATGCATAAATTATGGATTTGCATACACTTAAATACTAGATAGCGACAACTTTAGATAGCAAGTATCTTGTATTAAAGTATGTCATTTAATTTTAAAGGATCAAGTTAGTATATATTAAATTATTTGATAAAAGTTTGCTTTTAGTATAGAACATTAAATTTATTTTACCAAGTTTATAAAAAATGAAAAAAATTGCAAATAATTTCTAGATATTTCTATACAATTAAAATCTATTTTTCTCAAATTTAGTAAAATGTGATTTAACACAGCTTTCCTCTTAGGTTTTAATTTTTTTTTCTCGAATGTTTCAGTAAAATCAGAAAGTTTCAGTAAAATCAATGGTTACTGATGAACATATAAAGGTTGAACATGTAGTGACTGTGAACATAATCAGTGGATATATGCTGTTAATTTTTTTACTGTTATGTTGAAGATTTAGTAAAATTTGCAGTAAAATCAATGTGGAATGATCCAGTAGTCAACTTTTTATAAACCATAATGTTGAGAAACAGTAATTGATACACACACGTAGGGAAAAAACTTAATTAGGAATTTTCACCACCAAGTATGTAATTAAAAAAATTCAGTAAAATCAATGTGGAATGATTCACCGGTTAATCACATCATTGAAAAACAGTTACTGATACATACAGTGATAAAAAATTAATCAGCAACATTTGCTTGCTTAGGAGGCAACAAAGAATATTCATTGATGCATGAAATAAGCCACATGACCTGTGATGTACATATGTGACCAGAATTAAGATGAACATTGCGTGGAGGCTTGTCTTGATACAAGATGATATGGTTGATATTTTCCAAGGAAGTGCCAGCAGCATGATAAGGCATCATGAATGCCTCGGATGAAACCGTATCTGGTTTAGGTTCCCTTGATAACAGTTTTCCACCACCCATGTGTATTAGATTGCACAAATCTTCGCGGAGAGGAGTGGGTTTTGAGAACGTACCATGTAAGTAAAAGTAAAATCCATCAAACAAAGGGGGAAACTGAAAAAAAAATAAAATAGATAATAATTATTCCAATTTCACCTTTTATTTTTTAAAAAGAAATCTCCAATAAAGCACTAACGCACCATATTCAACTTAGCATATTAAATTGGTCAATGATAAGTTAGTAATTTAAAATGAAATTTTGGCCTTAGAGCAGGAGCTAAAAGGAATTTTATTTTTTTCTCGCAAATTTTTAAAAGAAACTTATGCAGTATAATAGCAAAGTATTACTTATTGACCAAAGGAAAATTATTTTGAGATTTTATATTGTTCAACCTGATAAATGTATTGTCAGTAATTTTTTTTAGACTAATATGAATTGTTTTTGAGCATTTAATCATACAGATAAAATATTACTTTTCTCAATTAATTAGAACCATAATATAGTGGTTTTCAAACCAATTGAAGTCAGGACGCATTTAAAATTCTACAAATAATAGTATACACATTATGAACAAATTTCTAAAAAATTGTTTATAAAAAAATTATAGAGAAAAAAAAAATCTCAAGTTTATTCACGTGTATGTTTACAAATAATGCTTGATGCGCCCTGAAATTTTTGTTATTAGTATTTTTTTTTTTTAAATTTTATATTTGGGAATGTTTAAAAAAACTTTTTTGTAATGTTAGTCATATTGAATTTTTTTAAAAAATAAATCAAAAAAACAATAGTGCTGGTAATACTAACTTTTTATATTAAAAAACAAATATATAATAAATAAGAAGCAGCTGCCAGAAAAGTTATTTTTCATGATGAAATCTTTTTACTTTTATTATTTCAAAACTGACTAGAATTCTTTGGAATTCTACAAATCCAGAAACCTAGGGCACATTTTATGAGAAATATATATTTTACACGAAATTTTTTCATGAGTTCCATCTTTGGAATGAACTATTAAGTTTAAAGTGAGTTCTATTTTAAACTACAATAATTAAAAATAAGTATTAACAATTTAGATAAAGAAAATAAAGAGTACAATTTTAAGATTTTAATGTAATTCAAAACATTGAAATTAAAATAACCAAATTATTTTATCAATCAATCAATATAATTTAAATTTGTGATGTGAGATTAATCCTTTGATGTAGAATTTTTAGTAAACATATTTTTCATTAATTTAGGTCAAAATATGTGAAAAATATTTTTTTTTTAGCATTTTAATAATTAATGATTATGGAACACAGGGCGAAATACTGGTGTCCTTCTCTGCGTAAAAAGTAAAATTTCCCAAACAATTTTTAAAATTTGCAGTTATTTAGATCTAAGAGAATCAATAATCTATTATTTAAATTTCTTTAATTTACAACATCAATTATTGATTAATTTCTGCAAAAGATATATATTTACTTGCAATTAGATCATCACAAAAAACATAAAAGTATCCTATCAGCATCAAAGTGTTAATCATAAAACTTGAAGTTAGAGAGGAAAAATAAGAGATAAATATACTTTTTGTAAAGTATTTTTTCTGGCTCGAGCAGGTGCCTGAGTATTTGGTTGATTTTTAGTACCCTGTACTTCGAATACTTCTTCTTCAACTTTTTTTTTGTATTCCAAACACACTTCAACCCCTATAAAATTCAAATATTGTTTTTATAACATCTCTGAAAGAGAAGCATTAAAAGTTAATGTCAGTTTAAAAATAACATTAATATCACTTACATTGAAAATTTATTAACCACTTCCCGGATATCATTCCAAGTAATACTTTCATGGTTCTTGTACAGTTCCCCATGTTGTCACAGCCTGTCACAATATGGGTAACTAAAAAAATAACACATGGTGAAAAAAATTGGATATGATAACTTTTACTTCTTCAATACAATGTGTGCTATTGCAAGAAAAATATTTCATTGTGATAAATAATTTAAAAAAAAAATCCAGTTTTTCTTCATCTTTGGAAATAGAGATGAAAACATTAAATAAAAAAAATATCAAATACTAATAAATTTAGAGAAAATATTCCCAAGCCCAACAATTTGTATATTAGAAAAAAAAAAAAAACAATTCATAAAATACGTATTTGAACATAGAATTTATAGATAAAAAATAAAGTTTTATCGGATGAATAAATAGGTGCAATTATTACAATACAATTAATTGAAGGAATTGATTTCTGGGCATTATTTAACACTTCAGATTGAATCTTGAAAAGAGCACATTAATCTAGTTCAAATAAGAAATTTAAAAAAAAAAAAAGAAGTAATAATTCGTTATCAAAACAATAAAAACAAAAAGGGCGTTGTAAAATATTGGGTGGAGATTTCTGTTGTGCATTGAACATAAGTTTGACTTATACTTTTGAAATAGTGAGAGCATCATATTTCAAAGCAGAAATCTTAATAAGAATAAGTTGGAGATATGTTACTGATCATGTGCAAAATTTAACAAATAAGCGTGTATAAGAAATATGCGTGTCGGTCATAAGAAATTTAAAGATAACTATTAATCTATTTTTATACTTGTATGTTCAAGCATGCATTTCATTGAATTTAAAATAAAGAACTTAACTATTATAATACACTTTAATTTACCATTTGGTTTGAATTCTTCAACGATTTCTGCTTTCAAAAGTTGGGCACACTTCTGTAATTTTATTTTTTGCTCATCATTCAAGTTTGAATATAAGAAGACTATTTTATCTGATTCAGTATCTGTATTCTGTGAAAAAAAAATATTTTAATAAAAATATAAAAGTGAGTTAAGAAAAAGATTAAGAAAAAACATTTATACTTGAAATTTTAAAACTTAGTAAAATTTTCTATAAAAAATCTAACTATTCTTAAAAAAAAAAAAAAAAAAAACGAATACTGAATATTTGGCGGCAGAATAGCTATGTTTTTTTCTTTTTAAAAAACAAAAAACCATTAATAAATATATCGATCTTAATTTTTGAAAGAAAGTTTTAAAGCTAAACATTTCAGTTTACCAATTACTGTATTTTCAAGAAAAAGTGAAGATTAAAGAATAATAGAAACCATTTTAAAAGTGTTGCATCATAATAAAAACACAAGTTTTTTTGGAGAAAAAAAAACTAGTAGAAACCAAAACAAAAATTGTTCCTAATTTTTAAATGAAATAATTTATAAAAAAATCTTAATCTAAATCTTTCACACAGCTGAATTTTTAGAAAAAGTGAGCCTAAAGATTAACATTCATTAGAAACTTTCTATAAAAAATGCTATCATAATAAAATAGCTGGCTGATAAAAAAAAGTTAATAAAAGAGAAACAGGAAAAAAAAAAGGTTCCTAGTTCTGAAATATAATTTTACCATTGAGAATCACAGTTTTCTATTTACTAGTTACCTATCTTGCTGTACATGATAAAATATAAATTGCGGGGAAAAAAACTAATTTTCTTAGACTACTCTTTATGTACTTTTATGTTACTCCACTGTACTTTTCTTAGACTATTCTTATTTTTCCTAAACTTGACATTTTGCCTGCTGAAGACTAACATACGTTTAGGACGTTAGCATTCGAAAATAGTAGCTTTAATAGTCTAAAACGGCATCCTTTGATGGTAAAAGTAGCACAATACTGTCAACAAATTTTTTTAAAAAAATAGAGATATCAGATAATAAAATTTTAATTTTAGGTGTGGTTTGCCCTTTACGTTTTCAAAATATTTTTCTTACTTTTGAAATCGGCATGATTGTGTTGGCTTCAATAAAAGGAGAACAGGCCTCAGTTAATGACCTTCTAGTTTCATCAGTTTTACACAAATCTAAAGCACAATATCCAAAAGAAGCTCTAAATTGGAATTAGAAAAAATTATTCAGTTATTAGAAATTTAATTTTTTTTTTATTGTTTTTAACTTTGAACTTAATAAAGTTCACTTTAAATAACATCAATAATACATAAATTAGAGAATTAAGTTATTTCAAATTTACCTATAACAAAAGCAACACTAACAAACAAGTAGTATGTTTACAATCCACACGTATTGCATGTGCTATTTAATTTAATCAATTGGAGATAGCAAATGGTAAAAAGATTTGATATGAGTAAAGATTATGAAGAAATATTTGAAAGAAATGTATTCTACAAATAAAACGAAACTACATATATTTTTCCCCACACTGTTTAAGATATCTTTATACATATGACAAAGGGATGGTGGAAGGGATGATGATTACCAATGTGTTAAACTTGATTATAAATGAACAGAGTCAAATCTTTCAACAAGAAATAAGCACCTTTTAAATACTTTTTAAGCACTCAAAAAATATTTTTAAGTACTATATACAACTACAAAATAATTTTCAAAGATTTTACATAATCAAGATATTTTTTAGATCAATATCAGAGGGTGGAAAATGAAGCCTGAAATGATGAATTTCTTGTAAAATACAGCAGAGCTGCACATGAGAGTGCATTAATCTCACCAAACCGAGGTTAGTAGATGCACATGCGGGGTTGCAAGTATTTCATCAAACATGTAAAATGAGCGGCTCTTTCATACGTTAACGACCGACGGTACACCAAAATAGATTGTGATTGAATGAATTGTGAAAACATTAAATAGAACAATGTGAAAAGCACGCTTTTACATAAGACATGGCGAAAATCAATATTTCCCTTTCGAAAAGGTAAATTAAGCACTTTGTAAAAAACCCCTATGAAAAAAGCACATTTAAGGGCTTTTAAGATATGAAAATTGAAAATAAGCACCTTTAAAAAAAACTATGCACCATGATGAATATAAATTATAAGCACGAGTTTAAGCTTTAAATCATTAAGCACATATTTTTCAAAACAAAAAATTCAATGAATATAAATTATGAATATGAGAATGCTAAGTTAACACTAATTAATTAAAAAAAATTAATTATAAAAAATTAAAATTCTATTTCATCCAATGCTTTCAACCATTCTTTCTAATTTCATTGTTCTATTACTTATTACCAGTATAAAGAATTCTACATTGTTCACCAAATGGTAAATTACAAAATTCTCGCATCTAATAAGATAAATTGTGTTAAAAAAATTGCAATTGAAAGATTAAATAATTAGTAAACAGTATAAAATACTTAATTTTAATGAAGTTTTAAATTATTGCACTAAAAACATTTACAGCTTAATTAAAATAAAAATGGACAGTTTTTTTCTCTTTACACATAAATAAATAAATNTTTCATTTGATTCTGATGATTCTTTCATGGTGTTGCATTTTCTACAAACAGCAGTTTACATACAATAAAGGGGTGGTGGAAGGAATGATCATTACCAATGAGCTAAAGTTGATTACAAATGAAGAGAGTGCGTAGTCAAATCTTTCAACAAAAAATAAGCACCTTTTAAATACTTCTTAAGCACTCAAAAAATATTTCTAAGTACTATATACATCAACAAAATGAAAAATAATTTTCCAAGACTTTACATGATCAAAATATTTTTTGGTTCAATATCAGAGGGTGGAAAATGACGCCTGAAATGATGAAGTTCTTGTCAAATGCAGCAGATTTGCACATGAGAATGCATTAATCCTCACCGAACGCACATGCAGACTAGCAAGTATTTTATCAAACATGTCAAACGAGTGGCTCTTTCATATGTTAACGACCGACGGTTAACCAAAATAGATTGTAATTGAATGAATTGTGAAAATATTAAATAGAATAATGTGAAAAGCACACTTTTACATAATACACAACAAAAATAGACATTCCCTTTTCGAAAAGGAAAATTAAGTACTTTTTAAAACATGAAAATCGAAAATAATCACCTTTAAGCAATTTTTTAAAATGCTACGCACCATGATGAATATAAATTGCAAGCACGAGTTTAAGCTTTAAATCATTAAGCACATATTTTTCAAAACAAAAAATTCAATGAATATAAATTATGAATATGAAAATGTTAAGTCAACACTTATTAATTACAAAAAATTTAAATTCTGTTTTATCCAACCATTCTTTTTAATTCCATTTTAACTTACCACATTAATTGTTTTATTATCAGTATAAAGAATTCTACATTGTTAACAAAATAGTAAATTACGAAATTCTTGCATCTAATAAAATAAATTGCGTTAAAAGAAAGTGCAATTGAAAGATGAATTAATTAGTAAACAGTATAAAATACTTAATTTTAATGAGGTTTTAAATTATTGCACTAAAAACATTTACAGCTTAATTAAAATAAAAATGGACAGTTTTTTTCTCTTTACACAAAAATAAATAAATTTCAAAAATATAGATGTATAAAACATTTTGGATTCATAGGTACATACAAACTATTTGTTTTAAGAATCTTACTTTGTATGCAAATCAGCTCCCCTGGAAGCTAAAAGTATAGCTATGTCCAATTGATCATTAAGTAGTGCATCATGCAGAGGAGTGATATTGTCCTTTAATGAGGGCACATTTACTAGTGCACCATGGTCTAAAAGTAATTTTGCAATATCAAAGTATCCATGATTACTGGCTTCATGCTAGTAAAAGAAAAAAGAAATATTATGTGAACAAAATAAAATAAAAAACTTTTTTAATAAAACAATATCACACAATTAATAAATACAGTTGACCTTCAATATAATTACTACACCTGTTTTGCACAAAAATTCTATAAATATTTACTCATGGCTAAATAAGTAATAATGAAACCTGTTTTCTACATTAATAAATATATAAAAGAATAATTTAAAATGATGCTTTAGAGCTGAATTGAAAAATTCATTTACTGAAGAATTTACAATTATTGTGTTACAAATATTGTTTTTATGCATTCTTTCAAATGACAGCTTAGGAGACTGCAAGGTGATTTCAACATTACAGGATGGTGGTACACAGTTTTGATTATCAGTGTGAAGGAATGCAAATTTCACTAATATTTTGGCTAGAAATCAGAACTATCTAGAACAACATGTCACTTTTCCGTCAGTCAAAGAAAATTAAAGCTGTTTTACATTTAATGTGTAGCAACATCAAAAGCTAAAAATAATTGATTTAGCAAAACTTTAAATTAAACTTAGCTTAATCAAAGGAAATTTCATTATTTTGAAAACAAAAGCATTCAACATCCATTTTAGAATAAGGAACGGATACAAACGAATGGGCATAAAATAGCATCGTAAGTGAGATTATGAGAAATTTCCTCAAGTAAATTTTTTTAAATAACAAAAAAGCTTTTGCTTTGAGATCTCAATCTGGGGCACAATATCACAATTTATGTAAATTATTCACAATTCTGAATAAATAGGAGAGGATAAAATTTCAATATTTGTGAAACTAAATCATTATAGCACAATACTTATCAGCAAAAAAAAGGGAACCTGTTAAAGGGAAAAAGAAAAAAAAAGCTAGCTTAACAGATGTTGAGGTTACTACACATGTTATTTTAGCTGTATCTCATACTCAACTATGCACATGAAATTGAGAAACAGCATACTATAATGAGAATAACACAACCAAAACTACGCAAATCCAAATGTAAGATTTTTTTATTTTTTTTTTAAAAATTTCTTTAGGAGGTTAAAGTTTTAAATTAGAGAAAAAAAAAATCATAAACAGTCATAATCATACGAAGTTATATATAATTAGTTCAGATTTTAGAATTAATTTCTGTTGCATAATTTATTATTAATACAACATTAAATGAAACCAAAATGAACACTCAATTGAACTTGAAGGGAAAAAAAATGTTAAAACATAAAGAAAATGGGTAAAAAAACAAACAGAAAAGGAAAAAAAAAAATCAGAAAAGAAATAGAACATGAAACAAATGTTTACCAAAGGTGTCCACCCGTTATTGTCCTGTGTATTAACAGAAGCTCCTTGGTTTATGTATTCCTTCACTTTTGATATATCACCCTAAATTAAATAATTTGTTTTATTACAAAAATGATACAAATTAACAAACAAAAAGAAGTTTAAAAAGAAATTAAATTTGAAACAGAATATATATTTCACTATTTTGTATTACAAGTTTTTTCTAAATTTAATTATTAAAATTTTATCATTAAGTAAACACAATGCACACATTACCACGCTTGGTAGCGGCCTAAAGAACAATTTTTTGGCGCAGTTTACATATACTACTATGAAAAAAGGTAAATGACAAAATTACATAATTTGCTCTACTAAAGTATTATTAAAGGCAAATTTTATCGAAAAGCAGAAATAAAATAGACTTTTAAAATTCATGGGCGCAAATTTAAGGGGGTGATAGAAATAATCTAAACAAGCAATTTTCACCATACAATACATGGGCGGACAGCAAGCAATAAACCACTATCTTTCACTGTCAAATTAAAGAGCAAAACATTAAATGAATAGAGAAAAATAAATTTTACGGAGAGCATGCGTCCCAAAATTACAGAAACTGATAAAAAGAGCATCAATGCTGATGATCTATGACCTATGATGAAGATCTATGACACAGTGGATGATGCACATTATTTAATTTACATAAATTTAATTTAGTACTTTATTTGTTTGGTGTTTTGTTCTTTCATGTGACAGTAACACATACTTTTTAGTAGTTTGAACTCTAGAATAGATTTCTGATTCTTAAATAAACAAGGTAAATGAAATTCTGACAACTTTAGTAGTATTTGATAGGATTTCTTGTGTCCCACATTTCACGAGTAAACTCACCAAAATATCAATGCTTAATGAACTTAATAAAAATAAATAAATGAAAATAGATAGTATTCCCTCATACAAATATTTGATTAAAATTTGCAATAGAGATCAAGCAATTTGAAAAGAAGATATAGTGAACATGCCCATAACATTTTCGTACATAAAGTAATTTAGCAGATGATCTTTCAATTTAAAATCAAATGAAAGAGATAAATCAATGATTGTGTAATTACTTAACTTCACCCTACAAGATTTGTTACTGCATATCATAACAATAAATAAGTTTACATGACACCAGAATTCATCACCATAAAAATTTCATGATGAAAATTTGTAAATTGAGTTTCTTATCCATAACATGACTGAATTCATAAAAAGTTTGAAACAATGAATTTTGTGGATTTGACCAATCAGTGTTTAAGTTTGTTAGTGGTCAGTTCCTAAGTGCAAACTTTACCATTTTTACAAGCATTATAATTAAAAGATGGATATAAAATCAAAAAATCTTTTAACTATTCAAATAGATTATTTTATAATTTACATTCATAGAAAATGTGATGCAAAATCCGGAACATCAGAACAAAAAACTAAGATAAAGACAAAACCATTTTTTTTTTTTACGATTTTTTTTTTAATAATATCAAGAGAACTATGAACACTGTTGAACTGTCATTAACTCTATTATTATGTAGAATTGATTAATGTGCATACTAACTAAAACAGATGGTTTATATAATAAAATGTTGGCAGTTTTATATAACCCGGTTTAACAATAAAATTTAAAAATGCACAAGAGCTAAAACTAAATGAATGTTGTAGGTTATAAATAAAAATATTTTTGAATAAATTAAAAATAGATATACCGAAACAACAAGAAATATAAGTGAACTGACGGATAGGAAAGTCAAATAATTTTAAACTTGTAAATTTAATAGATTGTATTTAATATAATCAAATAAAATTGACCTTTTTTTTGGAAAAATTAATACCCAAGACTTTTTCTTCCTTACAAAAAGCTTTATGTTATTATAAATGATACCTCCCTTACTTTTCTCTGTGTCCTTCTTCCTTTTTTGAGGGAAATAGGAAAGAATTGAATTTCTTTTAGACAAGCAATTGAGGCTTTGCTTTTGACCTATTTTTACACATTGAATTGAGTGACAAGTCAATACACATAGTTCAAAAGTTGCAAGTGTCTTTATGTAAAAAAAGATTTTTTCGATACATACTTATATATAGTGGGGGAATTTTTAGGTATAATCACATAACCAAACTTTAGGGGGTATTAATTTTTCTGAAGAAACAACCCTTTTTTGTTACAATTATTACAGGAAAAACATTAGATGAAGTGAGGAAAGACATCTATAATACCCTTATAACAGCACGGTGTAGCGGTGTTTCTCCTTTAGGGTTTTTTTTATTTAAATTTGTTGCAGGAGATGGTAGAGGAAGAGCTATATCTGGACAAAAACTTGTAGAAGGTTTCCTTGCATCAGATTTTTTTCTTCCTTCATGGATTGAGGAATTAGAAACATCACTTTGGTTAACAGGAGTTACCTAAATTTAATATTTAAGCATTGAATTAAAAATAAAATTTATCACAGAGACAAAAAATATTTATTTAATGTTTGAAGAAGGGGAATAGTTTTTAAAATTGACAGAGACTTTTCAAGGCAAGGTACTACACTTAGCAAATTTTGTTGGTAAATAAAGAATAAAACTTATGAAATCATGTTTTATTGTGAACTAAAGTGCAATTAAAAAAAAAAACATATGGTAAAAAAACACTTCGTAAAATAGTCAACATAGGTATAAAATTGGAAAAGAGAAAAAAACCCAGAGACATTGCAATACAGGGGTCTGTCCATGCCGAATTTACTATCGTTGAGTAGTACCTTCACAAAATACTTTTTCTTAAAATTTTATTTTTGTATCCCTTAAGAAACAATAAATTAATATTTTTGTGTTGATTTTTTAATATAATTTTCAATTTTTCACATATTATGTCTAAATTTTCACGAAATAGGTACCTCTCAGAAATACCCAGACAAACCCCTACAATAGAGTTACTTTAATGAGCAATTAGCGATAATACAGACCCACACACATACTACACTACCATAATTTAGATTGAAGAGCTTCAAGTTTTAACTGTTTTCTGTGCCTTGCTCTTCACAGTTCAACAAGACATACATTAAGCATCGGAAACCAAATTCCCGCCAAAGGTATTAAAAAAGAAGACATCCACACCAATTGAGTAGCAAGAGATAGTTATTAACTATGGATATTTTTGTTAAAATGGGTTGAAAATTATCAAATTTAATGTCAGATAAAAATAATTGCAAGTTATATTTTAGTATATCAATAACTGATCAAAAGGTCACAAAATAATTCATTTGGTAAATGATCAAATAGTCTGAAAAAATTCTGACTAATAAAAACTACTTAATAATATAAACATAGCTCTATCACTAAATCGAAGGACGAGTTTAGCTATCCAACTCACGAAAAATAACTTCAAGATTAGAGATTTAACTTCACACGTATGAGGCACTTCTGATGTACTAGGTAGAGGTTTTTCTTGCATTAAATCTTTCTTGGATGGATACATGGATTAATTATTGAAAGAGGAGACAAGCTTTGAAAGACTAATCAATAAAGAATGCAAAAAGGGAGGGGTCCTGGCTTTTGTTTTCTTTATAAAGAAAGTCTCAGAAACAATTTTTGAGGGACCAAACAAAAAATTGGAATTTTCTATAATTTTGAATTAAACAAGGCTGTAAATGAATTATCCTCTTAGACTATAAATGAATAAATATAAATTATAAGCCCAGAATAATTTTAGAAAATATTTTTAATCACTTATTTTTAATCGGGTGGCAATATACGCTTCGAGTTGATCCCCCTTTCACAAAATGTTTTAGATTTTTATGCTAGCCATTACCAGTTAACACATGGTTCTCATTTTCTGTAAAAAAATAAAATTTACCTTATTTTTGGTTTCACAACAAGAAAATTTGTTGCAAATTCTGGAAGATGATCTCTTTCTAGTATTTATAGGAGTAGAACATTGCACTGGTTCCAGTGTTTCTTTAACCTTTTTGGATACTGTTTTTTCAGACGTGTTGGATTGTTTATTAGATTTAGAAAGAATGCCATTTTCTTTCAATGATATTTCCTCATCTTTTGTTTTGGAAGATGATCTCTTCCTTGTACTTATAGGACTAGAACACTTTACTGGAACTGGTGCTTCTTTATCTTCATGTGATGCTGTTTCTTCTGATGGCACATTCAATTGTTCATCCAAGCACATTGACTCTGCAGGAGCACCATTTTCTTTCAGTGATATTTCATCATTTTTTGTTTTGGTAGATGGTCTCTTCCTAGTATTTACAGGAGTAGAACACCTTATTGGAACTGGTGCTTCTTTATCTTCATGTGATGCTGTTTTTTCTAATAGCACGTTCGATTGTTCATCCAAGCACATTGACTCTGCAGGAGCACCATTTTCTTTCAGTGATATTTCATCATTTTTTGTTTTGGTAGATGGTCTCTTCTTAGTATTTACAGGAGTAGAACACTTTACAGGAACTGGTGTTTCATTATCTTCATGCGATGCTGTTTTTTCTGATAGCACATTCAATTGTTCATTCAAGCACATCGACTCTGCAGGAGCACAATTTTCTTTCAGTAAAATTTCATCATTTTTTGTTTTGGTAGATGATCTTTTTTTCGTATTTACAGGAGTAGAGCACTGTAGAGGACCTGGTGTTTCCTTATTTCCTGATAGCACATTTGATTGTTCATTAGACTCCGTAAGAACATTTTCTTTCATTGATAATATGACATCTTTCAGTACATTCTTTAGCACATTAAGTTCCTCCAGTATGGTCTTAAACTCAGCATTTTCTTTAACTTGTTCTTCATTGTTAACAAGCGTGCCACAAATAGGACAAGAATTTGAAAAGCAGCATCTAAAATATAATTAAAATTTTTTAAAAAATATTTGCAAACTTATGCTTTCTACTAAAATAAATAAATAAATGACAAGATTATAATTTAGTGACACTACAGTTTTTGGCATCTGGCAGCAACAAGGTGCCAAAATTTTTTATATAGCACTAAGTCTTACATTTAAAGGTTTGTATTAATGCAGGTCTTCTACTCAACTTGAAATCAAATTACTTAGTAATTAAAAGTCATATCTAGATGAGTCAAGCAAAAACTGATGTTTAATTACAACTTCCTACATTTAGGAAACACTTAATCTTAAAATTCTTTTTTTAAAAATAGAAAATTCTTTGAAAATTCTATTACTTTAATTCAGTGGGAAAAAAATACAAATAGATTTTAAATTTAGAATTTTTTTTAGAAAACATGTTGACGTTTGCTCGCGATTGGTAATGAGTTATACCTTCCCAACTGGTCCTTTAGAGAGATTTTTAAAGCTATGATTGGCAATTATTCTGCTGCAAATCACAAAATAGAAATCTTCCTCATTGAGGAAACAATAATATTAAAGAATTAATTATAATTTTCTTACTTGCAAATAGTATGACCACACGTCACAAAAAGTACAGGATCATTAAGTAATTCCTTACTGAAAATAATAAAAAACATTGCACTTTCAACATCATCACATCTAACGTATAACGCTATAAATACATTAATAAATAATTGAAACTCTTCAAAGAAAAATTATTAGACCTTTAATTGTTAAAATTGTTTTTATTTAGTGATGGGGATTGTAGTGGTAGACACACTACAGTACTGTAGTGTGTCTACCACTCATTAGCGTCGTCAGATAAAATTTATTGGGGGGGACCATACTTAAGACTGTTATTAAAAAGAAAAATATCACCCTTGCCCTTATTATATATATATATCGAAGACATGCCATCACAATTTTGATCCTCTGC